GTTGAAATAAATTGAGATGCAAAAGTTCCATAAAAAATGAATAATGTTAATGTATTTAAGACGATATGAACAACGAAAAAAGAAGAAACATTTTAAGTGATTCAGAAACTTATGTACTTTCCACTAAGTGAATATATTCATATTGGAAAACCTACCGATATTTCAGGAAAACCGATTAAAGGAGGTAATTAAAAAAAAACTTGACATTTCAGTGACCTTTTGAACATAATTAAAAAGATTTTCTCATATTATGTGCCTTATTAGGGATGATTTTGAGTTGACTGAAAAAGTGCCAAAGAAATTAGAAGAAAATCATAGTTTTGTTTCTTTAGACGTGTTAGCTCTATATTCAAATATTGAATATGACTATGGATTTAAAGCTGTGAAAAGTTTAGATAAATACAAAGAATTAATTCATTCCAGGTTTAATAAAGGTTTTATCTTAAAAGGTTTAGATATAGTCTTAAAAATGTTTTTTTTTAATTATGAAGAACAAATATTACTACATTTCTGGTACAGCAATGGGCAAAAGTTGCTCTAACTTATGCTAATATCCCTATGGGATTTTTCGAATTACAATAATTTAATATATTACGAAATTATTTTGAAGAGAATTTTATAGTTCGCATAAAAATTTTTTGGAAAAGATTTTTAGATGATTGTTTTTAATATCGAAAGATAAAGATATTAGTAAGTTTGCTGGGATTTTAAGTTCAATAAACAAGGAAATTAAGTTTACCTTAGAAAGAAATGATAAAGTCTTATCCTTTTTTAGATGTACTGGTAAGTGTTTCAACAGTAGAGGAAATTGTAACTAACATCTTATGTAAATCCACAAATTCATATTAATATGTAATTTTGTTAGTAATCATCCCAAACATATAAAATTACCTGTTCCTTTAAATCTTGCAAATTTGGTTTCCAATAAAGAAACAAGTTAACAGTTTATTCGAATTAAAAAAAACCCAGTTTAGTGTCACTATCTGGAAAAAGTTATCCTGAGAAATTTTGAAATTGCTTAGAATAACTTTAATAAAAAAAACCATTTAAACAGAGATTAGTAAACCTAAAGAGAATATTATACCTTTTGTTTTGACTCATTGTCCATATATATATATTGATATTTCATTTATTAATAATCAATAAAAACGAATACTAGATAAAAAAAAGATGTTTTCAAAGATAAAATTACTTTATCAAGAAGACAACCTAAAAATATGTATCAAATACTGAATAAACCTAAATAGATTGTTTGTTCGTTTTGAATTTCGCGCAAAGCTACACGAGGGCTATCTGCGCTAGCCGTCCCTAATTTAGCAGTGTAAGACTAGAGGGAAGGCAGCTAGTCATCACCACCCACCGCCATCTCTTGGGCTACTCTTTTACCAACGAATAGCGGGATTGACCGTC